CGATCAGTAACGACTTGATTAGGGAAATGGCGGGGTGACTACAGTTTCAAAAAAGATTCAAGAACAAAGACTGCAAGCAATAACTTAGTCACGTCAATAATTAAAATGAAAACTATATGGGATGAAGGATAAAGCTGTTAAAAGTTAATGGAAATAGAGGAAGAGAAAAATCGAGGAGAAGATGCAAGGACTGCCTAGAAGAAAATTTGACAGACGTTTAGGCAAAGGTTAGGTAAAAACTTGACATTTAGGTAAAGAAGACATGATGGAGAGAAATTAGTGGTGAAGAAAAATGAGAAACAGCGACTTTTAAAAACGGTTTTACAGTTTTGTATTGCTAACTTTATCAGCACATAAGATTTCTAGCAGTGCCAATATCATCATAATTTATTAATGGTTTTTTTTAGAACAATTTCCAAAGTAAAAATTAAAACGTCAATAAACTTATTTTAAACTTCAATTGTGGCTTATTCCCATTAAAATAGTAATTACACTAACATCATGTTTCAAATACTTCGAATATTAAATTCGGCTGTTTTAAACAATTGGTAATATAAAGTGCGCATCTATTATTTACTTATATTCATGGATATCTATGATATTTCAAATAATTAATAACATAGCACGTACTGTAATTTAAAAATAAATGTTGATGACTTAATATTTTTGACAGATGTTGAAAAATTGATAACGCAATACTATTAATTTATGTAAAACTGGGAAATTGAAAAAACAAATTATAACCATTAACCGTTGACTAAAAAAACTAAATAATATCAAATTATTACGGATAGTGCATCTCTTTTTACATAGTGGTCATTGAAATTAGACCATCACCATTTAAAAACTGCGCAACAAAATTTCATACAAGAACATAGTGAAAAAATATCTTTCAAATGAAATATTACCATATAACCAACTATTATATAACTATATTACGATATAACCCCTTTTAAAATAAATATAAATTTCGTCCATCCGACATTTTGAATGAATGCGTTATTAAAAAATCAAAAAATCAATGCACCTTATGTTCAGTTACTTAAAAAATATTAATCATTTGTACGAACTATAAAAATAGTTAAGGTGCGGTTTTCAGACACGAACTGTGTATATAGCATTAAAGCATTTAGTATTATTACGAATATTTTTATTATAGAAAAATATTATAGTCTCGACAATTACGGATGCTGACAGTGCTATAACCACGCGTGCTTTTTGTTTATGCCATTTGATGTAACGCTTCGATTACCCAACGGGACCGACAAAATAATTGCATAAGCCTATAAATACAGAGCAGGGGGAACTAGAAACTCAAGTTAAAAAAATGTAAATATCTAAAAGGTAAGAGGACCATTGACCACAAAAAGCATAGCTTAAAGATCTTATAAATCGCTTTGAAATAACTATCCTAAACGTATATCTTGTAACTACTTGTAACTAACACCACTAACTTTAGACGTAGACTGTAAAAGATAATCTCATTAAATAACTAATATTTTAAAGACCAATAATATAATTTGGTCTTTTGTAGAAGTATTCTTCCTTGCCTGGTCTATATAACTATTAGTTTCGCGAAGAGTTTTACTCAATGGCATTCTTCTTGTTTTAGATCATCACCGGATTTGCTAGACTTTTGTTTATTTTGTCACTCACATGAGACGTTTTCATGTCGTTAAGAAATGTATACATATGTACACGCAGAATATACACACCGGTTGATATGAGTGACGCCGAAAGTGGCGGGAAGAACTAGAGACTCGGTTATGAGATTATTATCTAAAAAGCATTTGGGTCGCACTAAAACGAAGGCATTAACATTTTATACCGCATTAAAATTTGTTTGTCGCTTAGAAATTTTATGATTAACTACTCTATCAAAAATCTATATACACATTATCACCTTAAATAAACAAGCAAATACGAATCAAACAGAAAATTAATTCTTCTTATTATAAACTGTAAACTTCAAAGGACTCGTTTGACCACGAAGACTTGTCCTGCTTTCGCTTAAAAAAACTAAACTTCTAATATTATTCGTTTCGGAATTACTATCTGTTTGACAGTTTGGCAATGGCAAAGAAAGAATTATCTTACAATTGCTGAAAATATGGTCGACCATTTCCTCTGCATTTTCGCAATATCTGCATATTTCTCTGTTCACGTTGCCCATTTGTAGATATGACAGAGTTCAGTTTTGTAAATCTTTAAAAATATTTGTAGATAGCAAGCTGAATGTTGATGAGTCACACTTTAAAGATATTCTTAAAAATACTACATCAAAGATTATACAAAAAATGTGAATGGGACATCAGTGATTCCCAGTTCGGGTTTAGGCAAGGTTTAGGAACACGAGAAGCAATAGTAGCAACACAGGTACTGGTCCAAAATTGTTACGATCAGAGGAAGGATGTGTTCCTATGCTTTTTAGATTACAAAAAAGCGTTTGATCGTGTCCAACACCACAAGTTATTGCAGATTCTCAAGAAAGTTGATATAGACCAAAAAGACATAAGATGCATTGAAAACTTGTACTGGCATCAAACGGCACAGGTAAAAATAGACAATTCTATATCTAAGCCCATACATATAAGAAGAGGCGTTCGACAGGGATGTGTGCTTTCCCCTCTTTTATTTAACATTTATTCAGAAGCCATATTTCAAGAGTCTTTGGAGGATGCAGAGATGGGAATCAAGGTGAATGGAGTATTGATCAACAACATACGATATGCTGATGATGGTGTCTTAATTTGTGACAACATAGTCGATCTTCAACAACTTGTCACTATAATCGGAGAATACAGTGAGCGAATGGGACTAGAGATTAATACCAAAAAGACCAAATTCATGATCATCTCCAGAAACTTGGATGCATTTGAAAACTTCACCATAACACTGAATAGTAAATCCATAGAAAGAGTGAGTAAATTTAAATACCTGGGATCGTGGCTTTTTGAAGACTGGGCATCAGACAGGGAAGTAAAATGTCGCATTGAGCAAGCTCGACAAGCTTTCGTAAAATTCAAGAAGGTACTGACTTGTTCTGAGTTCGATCTTCAACTGAGACTAAGGTTTACTAAGTGCTACGTATGGTCAGTGCTACTATATGGCGTAGAGGGCTGGACACTCAAAACGAGGGATATAAACAGATTGGAAGCTTTCGAAATGTGGCTTTATCGCCGTATCCTAAAAATACCATGGACAGCGAAAATCACAAATATAGATGTCCTTAAAAGAATAAACCAAGAACGCCAACTTTTCGAAACCATCAAGAAAAGGAAAACGGCGTATCTAGGTCACATCATGCGAAATGAAAAATACCAGTTCCTCCAACTTATAATCGAGGGTAAAATTGAAGGCAAGAGAGGAATGGGACGCAAGAAAATGTCCTGGCTCCGAAACATAAGGCAATGGACAGGGATTAACGACATACAATCTCTGATATATATTGCAAGAAATAGAGAGTTAATGGAAAATGTGATCGCTAACATCCATTAGTGGATTTGCATCTGAAGAAGAAGAAGAAGCTGAATGTTGAAATAACATTTTTGGCTTAATAACGTCTTTGGCTTGTAATATTTTACTAATACGCACTAAAATCGTTTTCCCATTTTCAAACAACTTTAACAATAAGACTTTCGGGTTACCGAAAAATGGTCTTTGGACAATGAAAACACGTACATCTACTTTTTCAGGAAGACTATAATTACTATCAATCTCGTTACCTACAACCTACAACAATTCCTTTATGGCATGGTATATATAACATTTTCGCCAAATTGACACGTTTTTTAAGGCACTTTTGAGAATTCTATAGAAATTGTAAGCATATTTCAGAGGGTTCTTAATATTCTAGTGCAGGAACTTATCCTTATTTAACACAAACATTTAAATATCTCATCCAGTTTCAGGGTAATAAATAAATCGGTTATTTGTAAGCAAAATTTTAACACTCTGTATCTTGGAAAAGCAAGCATCCCTCTGCCCAATTTGGAAAAACTTGGCGAACTGCTTTGTGAATAGTTATTTCAAAATCCACATACAGAACGGCCGGGTCAAAAAGTATGTTTCTAATTGTACAGTCCTACACTAGAAAACGGTTTTCTTATTAAAAATCCAGACATAGACAATAGGTACATATAATAGTGTTCATTCATAAGTCGAAGAACAGTAAATAGTTGAAAAAATACTTCGTGCAGTATTTGAAGGTTCAAATTTTCATTGTATTAGCACTTTCTTCACACTCGTTGGTAGTTTCGGTAACAACTTACTCCGACGTAGTGCAAGCAGTTCCTTATCAGATGTACATCATTCACAATAAGCATTTTAATCCCAGAACTGTTCACTTCTTTGTGAAGAATTTTCATGGGTTTCCCACAAATGCCTTCAACGACCTTTCTTTTCAGTAAATTGTTGAGGTTTTGGTAGTTTAGGGTTTCCAAACTGCTGCTTTAATGGTTTTGCTCACCACCAAAGTCAAGCACTGTGTATGGTGCGGAAGTTTCCGTCTTCACATACACGGCGTGCACAGTGTCATGCTTCCATTCTTCTGAGAATAACTTGTAGAAATTAAATTTAAAACTGTTTACCACTAGCATGGGTTTTCTCCGTTCGCTTAATATTTCTGTAGCTTGCATCTTCTAAGACGATTTGATCAAGTACAAGCAAGACGCAAAACTATCAATAATACTAGCAAATAACTAATACTAGCAAACTAATTTAATAAAGAATGATGGGAAAATCCAATTTCTAACTATTACAAAAACGATTTCCGAAGTGGAAATTGAAACGTCAATAAACATACTTTAACCTTTAACTGTGGCTTATTCCCATTTAAATAGCTTAATTACTTTAAAATGCCTCAAGAAAATAGCATCAGAACAATATTAATATGATATTGTAATTATATCTGTTTCTTCCGCTATTCTATCGACTTCCTTTTGTATTTGTTGTAGATAACCTTTCATTTCGTATTCATATTTCTCTTCTTTGTTTTATATTTAACTTATCATTTTTATATTTTCCTCTCTAATATCATTTTGATGTGCTTTCATCATTGTTCTATTTTCTTCTTGCTGCGTTTTCATCATCATCACTAATTTTTCTAACATTCCTGTTCCTTGTTTCTCCTCAGCTACAGTATCATTTTGTTCATTATCAGACACATCTTCCAAAATTACTTTTATTTTTTTCTCTTTGTTATTCTCTTTCCTTTCCTGCATTTTACTTTGTTGTCTTGTGACCGACATTTTTTTAACAAATTTTACCAGTATCCACAAAATTCTCTTTTATATAAAAAAATATACAAATATACTAAAATTCTTTAAATAAATATGTCCTTTGGAATGTTTGTAAATTCAAAGGAAACAATTTAAAATTTTGAGAAAAAGAAGAATATTCAATCATATAACATATATGCGTCTATTCCTGTTCTATCTTACACTATTTACTAGGTATCTCTTTATAGCCCTCTACGTTGGGAGACAGTTAATATGATATTGTAATTTTGAAATATGATAAAACAATAATTAAATTAATTATGGTCCAATTAGCTAATTAAAACAAAAAAAAAATATTTAAAGAATTTTATTACGAATATGTGAATAAGTTTTATTAACGACACCAATTTTATAATTCATTATATTTTCTTATCTCAGAGTTCCTATTTGAGTTTAAAAAATACCTTTATCATCAATAGTGTTCAATAAGAAGAGGAGTAAAAGGAATAAATAAAATATAACAGTAAAATAAACCTTTTAAAACTGTTTATACAACTAATGAAATCCCTTAGAAATAAATGTTCTCCAAATCATATAGCTTTCACATATAAAATTACAATAGGAAAATTAGTTAATCTATTGTCTCGTCTCAATAAATTTTTCTCTGCACTTTATGAAAATTATGCACTTTAATTACCTCTCTATCGAAAAACTCCTTCCCTGATTCTGCTTATAAAAACAGTCCTGTCGATCAAAAGAACGTCCTGACTCACGTTTCTATCTCCGTTTGCTGCCCCTATCTGCTTAATAACGAATCTCTCCGGGAAAATTAATTTGTTGGTACTTACAAATTCTGCACCCTTTTTATCTGGCAAATAGCTTTCAAAACTTACTGACATTACTATTTTCACAAAATCTATACTTTTCTTTCAACATTTAAAAACACACACACACACACACACACACACACACACACACACACACACACACACACACACACACACACACACACACACACACACACACACACACTTGTCGAATTGATTTTTCCTCATTTCCCAGCCAACCGCAGATGATCCCTCTTTCTCTTTAAAAATCATTCTCCTCTCAATCCCCTTCATAATTTTCTGTTGACCAATCAACGTCCTCGACTTAATTCTCCAAAAACACTTTCCAATTCCCAAATTATGTACAAAAATATGAGACAAGGACTTTCTATTTTCTACTAATACCCTTAATGACAAGTTTCGTGGAAACCGAAATTAATCCTTGAAAAAATGCAGCTAGATTTGATATTTCAATATAACATTTTATTTACTTAAACTAATCTTAAATACCTATCCTAATTTGAAAAGTCCGAAATTTACCGTAAATCTAAAATTGAAAAAGTCTCTTTTCTTAAACTATATAACTATAACACGATTTTACAAATTTTTGTGTCTTCTTCTTTTTCTCTATTATTTTTCCTTTATATACATTTTGGACAGGGTGGTCCTTAAGTAATTGTACAAAAAGAAACCGTAGATTCTACACTTTAAAATATTACAATTTAAGCCAAATTGCTTTAATAAAATGTTGATAAAAGATACAGGGTGTTAAAGTGGACATTTAAAATTTTAATTTTCGCTATAACTTTCATGTTGGTGAACTGGTAAACATTTATGTATCAAAATTCATAACTGGGTACTATTGAACATCAGAAATTATAATTTAATGCATACTTTAATGTAGCTGATAGAGGGCGCCACATATGTGGTATACATTGGCACTTAACTTTTTTGCTCTTTAAGTTACCAGTATTTCTGATAAAAAATATTAAAGATACATTAATTTAACAAAAAAAAGGTATACTTGTTAATAATTTCAAACTCAACAGTTTTCGAGATAATCGCATTTTACAAATAAACTACATAATTCTGATTTAACGTAATTACTCCAGGAAACGAAAGAAAATTAGACAAAAACATCAATACTTCTGAATTTTCGTATAAAATGCCTTTAATAAAGTTAATAGTTAACGAAATATTAAATAAAATAAATATATCAGCAGGATAGTTAATAGTAGGATTTGACAAAATAACAGAATAGTTGGATTTTACATCAAACATTTTATGTTTTGTATTAAATTAAAGTCATAATTAACATATTTCATTTATAAACCAAATTAAGAAATAGTTAAACTAAATAACATTAAACTGTTTGTCAATGTAAGTGTTCGATATGTATACAATTTTCCTTAAGTCATTTGTCAATACATTCCGTACAAGATCGTCTCACATTAAATAGCATCATTGGTTCTACAGAAACTGCTGCAGTATTTATAATAAGTATTATAAGTATAATAAATAATAAATATAATATAATAATACAGTAATATCTCACCACATGACCAGGGAATATGACTACCACGAACAATCCAATGTTCAGGAAAGTTGTATTTAATTATGTTCTCATTGTCCTCTTTTTATAATGTGGTGGTGTACCATCTTGTATAAACCATATATATTTCGCCTTAAGTTTGTGACAATTCTTCAAATAAATCAATAAAATAATTTTACAAAAAATGAAAATAAATTTTACCATTCAAATTGCAAGGTAATTCGTTTCGTATATCCGTAAACAGTCATTACAAATGGTACCAAACCATACGATATATATTTTAAACATGAATTTTAAATAAACGTATGGTTTGGAACCATTGGTAATTATTTTTTACGGACAGGCGAATTACCTTGTAATTTGAATGGTGAGATTTATTTACATTTTGTATAAAATGATTTTATTGATTTATTGGAGGAATTGTCATTAAACTTAGGCGAAATATGTGGTTTATGCAAGATGTTACTTCTTCTTCTTTGAGTTATTTTTCTACCAATTCCTCTTCTTCCGTCGATCTTTCCGTTGAGTATCAACTGCATTATCCTATATCTGCTTACTCTCATTATATCTGGGGCATATTGAATTGCTTAGAAGTATTGCTTAGAGTATATCTAAGTTTCATCACTGCTTCTCTTGCAATTTCTATACGAGTTTTAATTTGTTCATCCGGATTTAGTGTCTCGTTTATCCAACATCCTAGATATTTAAAATGGTTAACTTCTGTTATCGGTTCATTATTGACAATTTGTTGTATAGAGCCGAGGTCTTGTTTACTAATCACAAGTAACATGGTCTTTGTTGTATTTATGCTTAGTTCGTTATTAGAGCATTCTCTAATGACTCAATCTATAAGGAATTGAAGATTACTGTTTTTTTTAACTAAAAATTCTTATTCTGGCTAGATTTGAACTCACGATCCCAAACTTTTTACTGCGCCACCAAAGCATTATAATAAAGAATAATTATACAAGTTGTTTCAAAAAGTATGCCATAAATTAAATCACGCATTCCGGGGACAAAATAAATTGATTGAATCCAACTTACCTTAGTACAAAAGTGTACACAAAAAGAGTTACAGCCCTTTGAAATTACAAAATAAAAATTGTTTTTTTGCATTATCTCCTAAACTACTTGACATGTTGTAATAAAAATGGACACTTTCTTGTTCTGAAAGCATTTTTCCTAGAAAAGAAACAACAAAATCTAAGAGCACAGAAAAAATTTAAGCGGGGTGGGCAGCCGTAAATCCTCCCAAACTTTTTAGTACGTTCAAATTAAATGAATTTTATGGCATTATTAGTTTAACACAATATTTTTAAACATTTTTTGCCATATCAATTTTTTCAAAAAACAGTTTTAATTGAGTTACGGCCCTTTTCATTAACCTTTAAAAAATTACGTGCAACTAAATAAATGGCTTAAATGAATTAACAAGTACAAAAAATGTCTATAACTTCTATAAATATAATATTACAATAAATGTTCACATTGACACCCATTTTCTTCAATACACATTCGGTATCGTTTTAATAAGGAAAACCGAATAGACTGAAAAATCATATTTTTCTGACCAAATTGATTTGCAGCTTTAATTATTCTAACCCTCAATTGTTGTTTGTACTCTATTGTTACAGAATACACTTTCTCTTCTATACACCCCCAAAAGCAAAAGTCCATGTGGTTTAGACCTGGACTTCTGGGTGGCCAAGAAATAGGTGCGTCACGACCTCTTCCAATCCACCGACCAGGATACTGTCTGCAAAGGTATTCCTGGACTTCATTACTGAAGTGCGGTGGAGTGCCATCTAGTAGAAACCACATTTTTTGCCTTATTGCAATATTCACTTCTTTCAAATACTCTTGTAAATTGTTTGTCAAGGACTGCAAATAATTATCAGCATTTAAATTGTTAGGAAGGAATACTGGGCCTATTAGATTGTTATCCACAATTCCCGCTCAAACATTAACTTTGAAAGTCCTTTGGCGATGAGTCGTTTTTTTTTTCGTGAGGATTTTCGTCGGCCCAAATGTGCTTGTTATAATGGTTGGTTATTCAATTTCTACCTCGTCGGTAAACAAAATATTTCTAATAAAATTAACATTTCGAGTGTTTTCCGTTAAACAACCAATCGCAAAATCCAATCCTTTTAGGATAACCTTCAACCAATAACTCTTGAACCGTTGTTAAGTGATAGGGTTTAAGCAGCTGATCCTTCAAACGCCTCCAAACCCTTACGTTAGAAACATTTAGTTGAGCAGCTAATATCCTTGTACTTGTTCCAGGGACTTCTTCAATGATTTCTAAAATGTCTTCATCAGTTGCATCCATTATTGGATGACCACTATTGCCAGCAACTTGCGGTTGGAATGTACCCGTTTCCCGTAAACGACGATCAATGGTCAGAAATAATCGTCCATCGGGTGTATTTCGATTGGGGTATTTTACTGCATAACGCCTTGCGGCTGCTGCACTATTTCCTTGACATTCACGTGCGATGTTCCCGATAGTTTATTGAAATCATAATTTAATCTGATCCAACTTAATGTTAAATGCACATCTGCCATGTCCTGATATATGTAGGCCATTGTAATATCAAAATTTTTAATATTAATCTTATTCACAC